ACGACTTATATATTTTAATAGCATTTCACACAAAAATTAATTAAAAATCTTATTTCATTTTAAAGTTATTAAAACTTCAAATTTTTTGGCGGGTTTGATTGACACATCCTTGCACTTTTACAAATTTTAACCTTATTCTTAATCCTTAGGAAAAGTAGCAATCTTGTTGTGTATTAATGAGAAATATTAAAACTTTTATCCAGAAAAATAATTTTATTCTGAGTAGAAATGTTAGAAAGCAAAACTCCTTCACAAGTATCGTCATTCCGAACTAAGAGCTGCGTACAGAGTTTAGCAAATCGAGCACACTCGTGTTATGTACACAGTTTTTGTAAACAGGGCACGAGTTCTGTTATTGTTGATGTTTAGAATTCACCGGGTGCGTTCAATTGTCACAGTCTGCTTACCACAACTGCACGGACTGACAATATATTGTGTGTTTGTTTTGCTTTCGAACATGTATACTCTGAATTTTCTCGATTATAATATTAATATTTTTCATTTATACACAAAGAGATTGCCACTTTTCCTAAGGAAATAAAATTAATTTTTGAAACTCCAAGGATGTGTCAATCAAACCCGCCAAAAAATTTGAAATTTTAATATCTTTTATATGAAATAAGATTTTTAATTAATTTTTGTGTGAAATGCTATTAAAATATATAAGTCGTAATATTATAGAGAAAATAATAACTTCAAATCTGTGTCCAAGTACCTTTAATGTAAAACAAATACATACGATAGAATTGTCTTACTAAAATTAGGTATTGACCATGTTGCATGTTCTTGGGTCACCTGAGACTCATGTGACCTGTTTTGACCGTCGCTCTGCGTCTGTCGAAAGGTTTGGACACCAGTTGAACAATTTTGACATATAGCTTGTTTTGATAGATAAAGACGCAAATGAATTGTAAAAACTCTTAGTTTATGCCTGATACCCTTCCCAAGGGCCTGAGAGATGGGGATAAAACAAGCAAAGATAATTAATGTTTTTTAAAGTGAAGGATATGGAGATAATGAAGAGTATTCAATATTGATTCTTTTTCTTTACTCCCTGACAAATTATACAGTCGAAGTGTTCGCATGACAATAAGAATGATTGAGTTTTGGGATATTTTTGCCAGTGGTCAGAAGTTCTGAAGCTACATGTAGACAGGAATTCTGACCAATATGTATAAGTTCCGTAAAAATCATTCCCCTTGCATAATTAGCAGTTTTTTTATTTGCATGATTATGATGAGGAAGAGTACTTCTCTTAAAATAGTTTGTTACCTCGAGTTCAAGGCCAGGGTGTGAAGGTTAAGGAAGGATTCGTTTAATCTATCGTAAAAATGCATTAATACTTTGAAATTCTTTTCTTGTGCTGGATATCACATGTAAGTGATATGCATGTAAGTGCATATTTATCACCAAGGGTGTCTCTTTTAAAAATAGTTAGTTTGATGGTCACTGGATTAGTTGTTCCGGGTTAAAGACAGGGCTGTTTTGATTTATAAATGGAGATATACATTATTTCTTTGAAAGTTTTCTTTTCTGCTTTTGAGTTTTAGCAAAAATTTGAAGATAACGAACATCATTCAGCCTCATAAGTGTCCATTCCAACAATACAAGTCCGGAGCAGAGTAAAACAGACGTCCAGATCATCAGAAGTGATTTTCTTTTTAATTGCCTTTGTTGTAAAGCTACTTTGTGCCAGAAAGTGTTTGTACGTAGAGCATTTACCAGGGTATCTATAATCAGCTGAGAGACACAAACTCCATATACAGAAGGGTTTAATGCTACATCAGTAAGTGAGGTTGACGATTAAATTGAAGAACCAAATGGAAGAAATCGAACAGTATTCAAGCTGAAAAGTCTATTCTAACAATGCAAATCAGGATCAGGGCAAACAGAGACTTGTACAGCGTCAATGTTGTGATCAGGAGCCATGGAGGAGTAAGCATCCCATGCGGACCCGTCAATCCTGCCGTGGGCTCCTTGTCATGATCGGAAATAAAAAGCAGACAAATCAGTTTACAATTCGGTGTTTAAATATTTCAAGTCATAACGCTTATCATAAGGCTTCGTGTTTAGGTACCATCAACAACTTTTTCTAGTAAAAAGTTAGCTTCATATGCGTACAGAAAGGTCTACTGATAACAATATTGATACCAATGGGAATTCCTTGATATTTTTAAAAGAACTATATAGAGAGTGTCACTCGGAGGCTTGGGCATCTTTTTAGGATCAACATCAGAGTACCTATGTTCACATAGTGTTCAACAAAATAATGCTGCAAATGACAAATTGGATTTATTGAGACCGAGTCTAATTATTTCTACCCTAGATATTATGATAAATTATTTTGTATAAATTTTTCCTATTATATCAATTATTTTGATATTAAATAATTGAATGTTTACTATCCCGATTTCTTAGGCAGGTATCTCAAATGTTGTCAAGTTTTACAATTGGACTCTATGGAAATTGGGCAAGTGCCAAATTATCACATATTTTACCATATTGTTTTTGTATTTCTGCCCTAGGGATTTTATACTCAAGTTAGATGCATTATATTTCTTTTAGAAAGTCATCAAATTGTGAAATTTAAAAAAATAATCCTCTGGGTTGGCCTGGGATTGCTATATTGCGGTAAAGAGGTGTATATATCGCTGCAAAGAATTATTTGTGTTGAAAGTAACAATGTTAGGGTTTTTGATATGTTTGTTTTGTTAAAAACCTTATACATGAAAAGGGGCACTAATTGCTGAGGCATTCATCTCGACGACGTTTTGTCAATCAACAAAGGCTACTTCCATTCTTATGTCGATACGATATATACCGGATAGCTTGAAATAAAATATACCACAGAGTCTGAGTCTGACGTATCTCTTTCATATTAAGGTATTTTACTTGAAAAGGGCGTCAATGGTAATCTAATAACCAAGCTTTATCACAAAAGAGATGCCTAACTTTTTAATTGTCAACTTCCCTTACTCATGCAGCAATATACGTTCATCTGCTGCATGCGGGGTTTATATCTCTTACTTGACTCAATGCACAAGAATATGCTCTACGTATAAACAGTTTTTAAGACGAGTTATCGACAAACAAGTTGTTGAAACAAGAATATCAGAAGTCTCGGTTAGAGTACTGAGCATTTCGTAAGTTCTATGGTCGATACAATGACCGTGTCCCCAAATACAATTTATCATTGATATGTTGACTGACGTTTGTCATATTAATTCTTAGGCTATTATTTTTACACTGAATTGACAACGGATTTTTCCGTAATTTCCTAATCTTGACAAGGAGCACACGGCGGGTGTGACCGGTCGGCAGGGGATGCTCACTCCTAAATGGCACCTGGTCCCACCTCTGATGTTTTGGAGGTCCGCGTTTGCTCTGCTTCTATTTTATATTGTTTAAGGACTTTTGAGCTTGAATACTGTTCTGAGGGTCGCTAATGTAAACAGAATTAGTGTTATTTTAACCTTGTTCAAATTCAAAATACCTTAATTTTTTTTAATATCTTACCTACGCCTATGTAACAGACAAACATATGGATTGGTTATAATAAGCAAAAATGCTTATTCTAAAATAATGAAATTCAAAGAACATGGGTCTGGGCTTTCTGTGTTAGGGCGAGCTCTGTCAAAATACTAGTATACTAAAATGCAATACGCTTCTTAAAATCTTTTCTGCCCAAGCGTATTCATGATTGGTTTTGATTAACAAGGATGCCTCTTCCAAAATTGTTTATTTCTCGGCCCTTGGACTTAGGCTTCTGGAATTTGGGTGGGGCTATATTGATTATTTGATTTAAAATATTCTTTCTCTTTTCCTCAAATGTCGAGTTATATAAATAGCAGGAAATCTCTTCTAAAGTTATGAAATTCACAGCCTCTGTAATAATTATTCTGATCATCTTATTTCTCTTTCTTTGAGTCAACATACTCGTACATGTACATGTAGCTTCATTTATCAGTTGATTGTATTTAAGGTGATGGCTAGGAACCTGTATCTTTTCTTTTTACGGTAGTTTGATGTCCGGGATGTTGCATTTACATAGCATGATTAGAGTTATTGCCTCCTGTAAAAATCGATCAAGTCATTAGACTTAGACACCGGCTGAAATAATTCAACCATGGAATAAAATCTCATCCTTTTTATTTTGGAATCTGAATTTAAAGAATCTGAAGATAAATAGACACATACCTGAGTTGTTCAATACAAAGGAGGCATTTCTTTTATAAGCAAAATCTGTTTAAGATATGGCCATTAAACACCATTGTTCAGAAGATTTTATGACCAACCGCTCTGAATTTAGCAGATTTAACTCGATTCTTGGGTCCCGATTATGATAAAGCAAATGAAACTTTAAGCAATATATGGCCTGGCTGTTAACTGTTTATCCATATATATTTAATGAAAACGTTACTGATAAGGATTTTTTTTAAATGAAAGTTTCAATTAAAATTTAAAGTGGTCTTAAATATACGTAACTTAAATATAGCATGCACAATGAAAATAAAACGAAACACAATTTAAGATACATTTTTTAAAAAGCCTTTGTCAGATTTTAAAATCAGTTTAACTTTTTGTTTATTCAGCGTATTTGTACAGAGCTTACAATTACAATACACAGCAAGTTCAACAAGAAGTTGTTTAGAAAAATAAAACACTCGAAGAACATAAGCATTTTACTTCTTCCAACAAAAGCCCTGCAAGGAATCTATGCAGGTGTATATTTTTGTATACTTTATATACAGCGTGTCAATGCATAAAATTTCCAACAGATTTGATGCTAACTTTATAAAACGAGAAAAGAACATTGAGGCAGAAAAACAGCAGGTAATATTATTTACAGCGCAATATAGACTGTTTTCGATCGTTTAAATGCCATTTATGGTTTATATTTTTTTGACGTGAATAGAAAATGGTTATGTATCTGTCATTAAAATATCGAATTTAAGCAAAATTGTGGGATCGTCCGGTAGCTAATCTATTTGATTAACATTTTTTGAAATCATAAAAAGGTTTGAAATCTTATAAAGGTAATTTACAAACTTGCGTCAACGTGTTCAATATTTTACGACTGGAAGGATAATTTGGTATGCATTGGTCTCTCTCGTGTCAACAACAAATTTACCCTTCTATATTCATTAGCTTCTTAATGAGAAATGGTGAGACACTTAGCTCAAACTCTCATTGTCTGACATTCTTAGTTCCTGCAGTAGATCGGACATTGTGGTATTTGGTAAGTGATACTTCTTTTGACCCGTAAAACTCTAGAAAAAAACTCGACTTCATATGGTTAATTTCAAAATGTATGGTAATTATTTCTTCCAGTAAAAAAGTAATTTTCATATTTAGTAGATATGGACTTACCTATGTGTATCTATATATAAAATTTACTTAATTAATTATTAGGTGTAAGCTTAATAAATATAACATCTTGAATTCAGTGTTTCAATATATGTCCTTTTCCTTGAATAAATAAAATATATCACTGCTCTAGCTACACTATTGATTATAATGTTGTTTAGAAATTATATATGACGTATTTAATTCAAATTCATCGACAAATTATACTTACCAAAAAATATAATGATTATAAAAAAATATATATTGCAAATATCATTAAGACAATAAACCATGTAAAAAAGGAAATACTTTTATCAGTTAATTTTCATTTCATTGAAAGTTAAAAAAAGTCTAGTAAATCTTACCAAAATAAAAATAAATGTCATGTATTGCTCTGAAAGGAAACCCGGTAATATTTCACACATTGGAAATACATGTACTATATCGTTTACATAAATAAAATTATTGACGGATCATTTTACACCAAAGTTTGAAATAAAACAAGAAATTTTTGAATCTGGGCTCTCTTTATTAAAATTATTAACAGGGCCCGACCATCAGTCCGTTGACTTTTACATTTCAAGTTTTGTTCATACGTTGACCTCTAATCACATGTAGACGACGAACATTTCAGTTTCAGACCAATAAATTAAACCCCCTGACGTAATGTTAATTCCAATAATACTTTGTTTACGAAATTATATCAGGAATTATCCTTTTAATTGTTCAAAAATGGTGTAAACAACTTAAAGAGATTTAAAGAATAATCCTTTTTTTTATAATTTAAAAATGTTTTTCCAATTGCAGGAAATCCTTAATATTTAAAGGAACGTACAATCAGCATTAAAATTCAAACGACGACTGTCTTCACTTGTTAACATATCACAATGGATACAGGACGGCTAGGGGAAGTCCGTCGCCATGAAAACAGCAACAGAAAATTTATGTGCATCTTGAATCACATGATCAAATCCCGCTGGGAGACGGTTAACGATAGTCTGACCCGAGAAAGAAACGAGGCAGACCATAGACTGGACAAGGCCGGGACACTATGGCGCCGGAAGTACGTCCAACAGAGGGTTCTACAGCAGTGTATGAAGATGAGGAAGGAGAATCTGACAAACAGCAGCGCCGCCAGACGGTTCGGATGTTATGGCGGGAAACCTTTGTTTGCATTTTCCCGGGACATTGACAGGTTCATATCAGATAATCATCCGAAGAAAAGGCGGCAACGTAAGGTAAAGCAGGCGCTTCTGGAAAGCATTGAACGGGGCCATATCATAGACCCCGAGGAGATTCCGAAAAGGGTGGAAAATTACTTTAGCCACTGGAAGGTGAAAGAAGAGTCGTCCAGAAAATCCAACATACTTCCGGAAATGGAAAGAGGAGCAGGAGGAGGAAAGACATTCAAAAACACGGTGATTCCTCCAATCAGAGGACTTGTTAACAACTTCCACAAATTCACGCTGGATGACGCAGATCCCGAAGTTCAGAGTGAAGACAAGGAAACTCGGAGTGAAAAACCAAATGTGATTTTGATTCAAAAGGACAACACTGATTCAAAGAAATTGGTGGAAAATAAAAGTGAAAATCGCAGAGTTTTAAAGCTACCTCCCGTGCAAACTTCTAAAGCGATGGTTACAATGTCAAAGACGTGAAATTGTGGGTACAGAACTCAGCAATCGAATTTATGTGTATCAGTTTATTGTTAATTTAATGCTTCTTATACTAGAGCATTGAAGTAAATGTTTTTATGGATATATCACAAATTTCCTGTTTAACTCTTTTGGTGGTGCTACATGTATTGTTAAGACATAAAGTAAAACTGCCTACCTGGCGACAATGTATATGCATTTTAATCATTTTATCATTGTGCCAATTCATTAAAATAGTTATTGATATTGATTTATTAATATTTTAATTAGAGTTTTAAGCAATCAATTCATTATGCATGCACACGTTATGTCTTAAACAGAGGTAGGAAAATTTTGTGTAACAAAACATAGATAAAAACAATGGCTTTCCTATCAATATTCAATCAGTCGTTAGGAGTAGTGCTCCTGTAGGATCTTTTTACACTCGGGACACGATGATGTCTTATCACTCGCCGTGGACCTATTAGATCGGCGACTGGCGAGCCTCATTGTAAACATACTGCCGTAAGAAAGCAGGGAACTCCCACGGTAAATAGGGTGGTACCGCCTTGACATTGGCACACCGAATCTTTCACAAGAACAACTTATTTCCGGAAGTCGAAATGCAGATTTCCGGTTCCTTCTCATTGATTTTCGGATGTTGCTAGAAACAGTGGGTTGTAAAAGTCTCATGTCTATCTCATGAACGTTGGTGTTTGTGCGTGAAACTGCCATATCATTGAATATATCACTGATTTTTCGAGCACATCCCTTTCTTTTGAATCTTGTGTCGTCTTGTACACGTGAGACAACTTGATTGACTTTCTCGGATGGAAACTCTCGGAAGGCGGGAGCAGCCGGAAGTTTTCGAGTCCGATGCTTGGAATATTTTAGAAAATCAATTATAGTCCCAGGTTCTTGTGCACGATGGAATTCTGTCTTGATGGAATCCCCATTTCGTGGTCCGCTGTACAGATATTTAACGTCATTACCGCGTATATAGTGAGGGGTTGTATGGAAAGCCATTACACACTATCGTCACAGCCTCCTCTTCCTAATTAAAATATTCCCTATCAAACATCTGGGGAGATTTACTTTATAAAACTGTAACCCGATCTCGTAGAATATTTCTGTTTAAATATTGGACATCACAATTTACACCTTGGTCAAATTACCATATTGTATTGCCATTGCTTTTAATTACTAATAGACAAAATCAAAAGACGCTCTGTTAAGAACAAAACAGACCATTTAACCTCCGCCATTATTTCTTTACCTAACTCCTGATATCTTGATTTATATCTGACAGTTCAAACAGATACATTGCCGTAATTTACCGAAGCATTTCATTTGAATATATGACACAGACACGCGGTTAAAGCATTCTGCGTAAAGGATAAGCAACTCTGTTACTCTAACTACAGTTACTACTGTATACCTCAGGAAATCGTAAGCGCTACGTCTGCGACATGTTTTGTGAAACGCTCGAATACGTGAAATAATCGCAAACGTAATCGTAAGTTTAAGATCTACGATTTGTTGGTGAAACGGTCGCTTGTATCTTAAAACTTTCAGCGAGGGGTTTTTATTTGCATTCCCCCAAATTTGCGGCAGTACATAATGTAAAAATTATATTTTTAGCAAATGTTGAATGACTTTAAGATTTTAAAGTAGGGCTCTTTAACATTTGCTTAAAGCTTTGAATCTTTTTAAGTGACATCTTTGTGTTCATTATAATTATATAATTATTTCATTGTTAATACTATTGCCTACATTCACCGATTATGTGCAGACATTTAAAATTTGACAATTAAAAGGTACATGTATATAATGAACACTTAAAGGGATATGGAGTCATAGACATAGACATAGTTTTAACTAAAAAACCATTTTTATGCTTACAATATTTAACTAAGGTTTTTCTAATGATCATCAAAAATTTGAATTTCTGTTGTCGAGATATAAGACAGAGTTTGAGCTCCAGACCTTTGTTATGTAAATATGTTTTCTTTTCATAGATTAAATATATTTATGTTTATATATATGTTCGTTCAAAACAGATTTTTTCAATAAAGAGGTCAATTTTAAATGCAATGGAAAGTTTCAAGTAATCTGTTGAATCTCGTTTTGTTATAAATACATGTATGATATTTTCTAAATTATGTAAACAAAAAATAAGACACGAGCTTTGTTTACATTAGGAAGAATTTTAAGCTGTGTACCTCTTTTGTAAATCAGCAAATGATGCTCAAATTTTTGCTGATGATAGTTGAAACTGTGTCCATGTCACTTTTTTAATACTAATTCACTTTTATCTGTACTTCAGTATAAGCAGACAAAAATAATAACTGAAACATTTTTACAGAATACATAAAACAATTTCCCTTACAAGCTAACTTCAGTGAAAGATTATTGAACACAGGTCCAAATGTTTCTGTCTTTAAATCTTTTATACATAAAGCACTGATCTTAAGTTGTTGAATTTGTACTGCTTGGTCAACCTTTTGTTGTTGGGTCGTTTTGTTTATCTTAAAGAGTTATGTAGGACAATTTTTGACCGATTACAAACCTATCTTTTGCCTGTGATCATTTATTGATTTGAGGTGTTGAACGACAAATTGGCTTTTTAAATTCAGTAAAAGACGTTCAATCCATGGTACACTGTTTGCATAAGTTTGTCAGCAAGTAGATCTCTCTACTGTTACACGTTGTTACCTTCCTGTCTGGTTTCTCGCCTGGATTCAGTTTTTATGGCGTTTTCCTTGACGTACAGTAATATTCTTGACAGCAGTTTAAAAAATATATACAGCGGAGAACATACTACAGGTACTATAACGCGAACAGTCACGAGGGAACCCCCTTCTGTTAAAAGGGACGATAAGTACGTCCACCCTAAGGAGAGATTCAGACTTCGCCAATCCCAGTTCTGGCCGCGATGGAATTCTAGCCTTCCACGGGCACCTGCTTTCCGCACCGTGTCACAGAAAAATGTCAGTCTTATAGTGGACCGATTGTCAGCGCCGATCCGGAGGGATACTGAAATCAGACCAGAGAGAGGCTCCTCTCCCGGATATAGTCGACCTAAGTCTTCCCGGAAGTTGGAACACACCGTGGACACGTCACAATACCCCACGGTGTCCAGTCACATCCGGCAAAAGATTCTGGAGGGATCTAAAAGAGGAACTTTTCCTGATATCAGAAGTTCTTGTGAAAGATTTAGAACTAAACCCTCCCAACGTTACGGGGCCTCCAATTATTCTCTATCTACGGTGTCTGGACAGACCTTATCGCCCTAAAACAGTATTAATCAAAGAACTCTTCCACAATTTCTTGTTCAATTAAAATGCGTGGATATTTTATTTTTTAATGTGTGTTATTTTTGCGGTTTCTTACACGTGTAATGGATAATTTTTGAGAGACGTGTACATGTTGTGAACGGAGTCAGTATACAACTGTATAGACGTTTATTTATATTTTAATTTCGATTAAAACTAAATTCTTGGTTTAGAGAAAGATGTAAGTAATTTTTTAAATTAAAATAATCATTATGTAACTATTTTCTAAAATTTATGATTTAATATCTGTTGAGGCTTTATCAAACTTTATCTGTATGTGTATGTTGACAGTTATTTACATTTTCATTCTTTCCAAAGATTTACCTAAAAAACTTCAACAGAGACTACATAGATCACTGTAAACAGATAGTAATATTTAACCTATTTTTCTGTCCTTATTTTTAAATGTCAATCTTGTCATGACTGGTGTAAACTTTTAAAATCCCTGATGTGTGTGTATTGACACTTGATAGCCCTAATGGCATTTTCTATTGAGCCACCCTGCCGAGTCTATGTAAATAAAAACAAGAAAAATAGTGCGTATCTTTTAATAAGTGTTACTTTATTCAATTATAGATCACCTGAGCTGAAATCTTTAAAAGTATTGTTCTTCACCGCGTCAGAAAAAAATCTTATGCGATAGCATCTTTGGGTAGTGTAAATTCTAAATTGTTCATAGAAAGGTTTATCTTTCCTTTATTGTTGCAGTATAGGGCAATCAGAGTCCCCCCCCCCCCCAATGAAATATGTTTTCGAGGTTGGACGGACAGTTTTTCTTTTTTCTGAAAATGACATGTCGTGTGTTCATGCCTTATACAAGTTATACGTACTACTAGATAATTTTTTCAAAATTCCAAACAATTTATTCAAAATTTACCTGGTAATAAAAATATATACTTGCTGCTATATTATGTCATTATCACAGGAAATGCAATATGCTAAAGCATAACTATAGTTTATCAGTGTTGTAATGAGTATACACTTTTAATCTTTTGAAAGTCATACAAGGTGCAGTGATAACAAAACTCGATCCAACATGGCTACTGGTGCGTGCCTCTATCTCCAGGGTTTTACAGGTGGGGGGAAGCTATAGAGATTCCCTCAGACCCTAGAGACGTCACCGAGAAGATGGCGAGATTTCTGACTTTGTCAATCCTCTTTCTGTTTCCTGTGGTTTTGGATTCAAAGCTTACCTACATAGCTATTCGTCTCCCCCTTCAGGTATGTGTGTTGAAATTGATAACGGATTTTGTCAGGCATTTTGATAAATTTAAAAATATTAAAGTTTGATAGATTTACATATTTGTTACGCCATTCCTCTCACAAAAATCTAATATACCTGTGACAGTAACCACAAAAACAGAAAATAGTAGAAAACAACAGGCCCAGGGGCCACATTGCTCACCTGAGCAACTAGCTAGGTAAATAAAAAATTAGTTCCGTATTGAAATGTTTGATTAATATTAATAATACACATGTATTATAAATGTAGATTCGAGGGAGGAGAAGTGAGGGGTGTTTAATTGAACAAACTTAAATTTACACTTCCTAAGAATGTTTTAAATGGTTTGTCTTTATTGTTATGATCCATTTCAATGATGCTTTTAAATTAATGATCATTCATGGTTTTTTCACGAATTTTAACGATTTTTCCCACGTATTCCTAATCCTATGCAAAACTCCCCCATACCCCATTTTGGTCTCACTCTACCCCCAAGGGTAATGATTTGAACAAACTTGAATATACAATACCCAAGTATGCTTCCATATATTTACTATGACCAACTTCGCTGTTCTCAAGAAGAAGGAATTAAAATATTTTTTTTCTATGTTATCCCAGTTTCATCACCCATAATGGTCCCACTCTTGCCCCCAATTGTCATGATTTCAACAAACATGAATCTTCACTACCAGAGGATGCTTCCATATAACTGTGACCGATCAAGGCTTTGCTGTTCTTAAAAGAAAGAATTTTAAAGACTTTTCCTATGTATTCTTGATATGTTAAACTTTGATACACCATTGTGGCCCCACCCTACCCCTGGGGGTCATAATTTGAACAAACTGGAATCTTCACTACCAGGGAATTCTTCTATTTAAAATTCATCTTGCCTGCCAAATTGTATCTTGAGAAGAAGATTTCTTTAAAAATTTCTTATGTACAGGGTGTCTCAAAACATATGTTACATTTCTAAACCGTTATAAAAATTTAATGCCTCAGGTTACATTAATAAAATTTAGAATATATATACTAAAATTATTATAATTTTTTTTGTCAAGCACATATTTTTTACAGTTTCCTTCTTAATCATAAATATTTTTTTCTTTAAAATAACATAGATCATTTTACAGCATGTTCCAAATTACGTCCCTTAAAATTAACATTGTTTGAACACGATTTCCTAAGTTTTTATTTACCAAGTTTGAAATGTAACATTCTAACAGTGAAGAGGTTTTTCCACATTAAAATTAGGTCTAAACAAACACTAGAATTTAAGATTCTCTTTAACAACATTGTTAAAATGGAAGTGGGCTTCATAGGAAAACGATGCATCTGTTAATTTTCAGAGTCAGGTCTAATTAAAATCCAATACCCAAATTCTAAACAACAAGGTGCTAACTTGTTCATACAGGACCCGTCTAAGGGATTTTTTAAAATAAAGTTTCTGTAGAGTAATTTCTATTAATGGTATTAATGTTTGGGCACTCCTTGGTCTTCTAATACCAGAATTAAGTCATGTGTACATTTATGGTGTCTTTTAACTTCAAACTTTCTCACAAATCTGTAAATTAGCATTCTGTTGGGCACTTTCATTACACGATGTTGTTTTCTCATGGTTCTAATGACTAAAGTTGCAGATTTACACCCATATTAAATTTTGACAATTTCTATCAGCTGCTCACATAAAGGTTCCATATCAAAAATATGATGACGTCATTTGGACATCATGATTACCTGACTTTGTAACAGAATTTCATGAAAGTTTGTCAGATAAAACGTATGCTAATACACTAGATGTTGACTAAATATTTCTGTGAATGCTTGTGGTTTGATAAAGTTATAGATGATTAAAAGTGTAACATATGTTTTGGGACATTCTGTATTCCTAATAAGTTAAATTTGAATTCACCCCATCCCTGTGGGTCATGATTTGAACAAACTGATGCTTCTACATGATTTTCATCTTTCCTGGCCAGCTGGTTCTTGAGAAGAAGGATATGGAGATAATGAACAGTATTAAATATCAAAGTCCATAAAACAATACAAAATAGGAGCAGAGCAAACACGGACCTCCGAAACATCAGAGGTGGGATTAGGTGCCATGGAGGAGGACGATTTTGAAAGATTTTTCCTAATATGTATTCCTATGTTAAAATTTGATACCCCATTGTGGCCCCACCCTACACCCGGTGGTCATGATTTGAACAAACTGGAATCTACATTGCCTGAGGATCCTTCCACATAAGTTTCATCTTTCCTGCTCCACTGCTTCTTGAGAAGAAAGTTTTTGTAAAAAACCACTAATTTATCACTTATTAATTATCTCCCCTTGGAAGAGGGTGTGACCCTTCATTTGAACAAGCTTGAATCCCCTTTACCCAAGGATACAAGGGCAAGTTTGGTTGAAATCGGCCCAGTTGTTCTTGAGAAGAGGATGAAAATATGAAAAGTTTACGACAATGACAGACAACGGACATATTTTGAATAGAAATGCTCACTTGAGCCTTCAGCTTAGGTGAGCTAAAAAATCTAACAGAAATATAGCTGATATAAACTTGATCTTTTGTGAAATGAATAAAGAGGTCATATCAAAGTCTCTCATCCCAATTTAAGAAGAAAAGTGTAAGAAAAAAACTTGACCTTGGGCAAACGACATTGAATTTGGGTTTTATAGAATGTGCATCGTAAGTCAGACTGATTGGAAACGTTCTTTTATTCTTATATTTGACTGATGATATGAATCTTGGTTTTATTTCATTTCCGGAATTTAAAAAAATCTACTTTTCATTTGTCATCTACGATTTTGTAGTTTTCATTTCCAGCATTTATAAAAAGAACTTTCTGAAATTAAAATGAAATTGAAATTTTTTTTGTGGTATTTGGAGACCAGGTTCTATTGGAATTCCCATGGGTACCAACTGCAGGCCCTTATTAGCAGACCTATTTTTATATTCACATGAAGCAGAATTTGTGCAAAATCTTATGCGTGAATAGAAAAAAACACTTGGTCTTCAACTCGACATTTTTTACTTGAAAAAGACGTTAAAGATAATCTAACAACCAAGCTATATAATGAAAAAACGTAAATGGCAATCTAACAAGAGCTATATAACTTTTCTATCGTCAGCTCCCCTTACTTATGCAGCAATATACCATATTCATCACATGCATACAATGTGTATATATCTCAGTTAATTCGATACGCAAGAACATGCTCTACGTATGAACAATTTCTAAAACGAGATAAATCATTGCCAAGCAAGATGATGAAACAAGAATATCAGCAGTCTCGTTTAAAGTCATCATATATCGGAAGTTCTACGGTTGATACAATAACCTTGTCAGCAAATACAATTTATCATTGAGTCAAATGCTGACGGACGTTTTTCATACCAATTGTTAGTCCATTATTCATACACTGAATTGACGACGGATTTTTCCGTTATTTCCCGAACATAACAAGGAACACACGGCGGGTGTGACCGGTCAGCAGCGGATGCTCACTCCTCAATGGCACCTGATCCCACCTCTGATGTTTCGGGGTCCGTGTTTGCTCTGCTCCTATTTTGTATTGTTTTATGGACTTTGAGATTCAATACTGTTCGTTATCTCCATATGCTTCTTATTGAAAACTTAAAACACGAGCCATTGAATAGTCTAATCTAAACTCTAAAGTTATACTATTTTAAAATGATAATCCGATTTAAATAGCAGTTATGTTTTCTAATGTGAATTAGATAGGTATGATAGTAAATAGCATTTTTAACGTATAACATTTTCTTCATGAGGCATATATTGTCTGCAAAGTCTAGGTATGAGCATATGCAGCTCAAGACAAATAGGCTTGCAAAAGAAGCAGCAAAGACAGGTCTAAAAATAAACATCGAAAAGACAGAGGTAATGCAGTTCCAGAACAAACACTAGTTATGCGTGGAGAGCACAACCTTAAAGATGTAGACTCCTTTACATACTTAGGCAGTATCGTCACAGTCACTGGTGGAACAGATGAAGACATAAAAGCAAGAATTAATAAAACAAGACACGTCTTCATCACCCTCAAGCCTGTGTGGAGCTTAACAGCACTGTCCACATGCATAAAACTCCAAATCTATAATACCAATGTTAAGTCTGTGCTCCTCTACGGGTGTGAAACGTGGAGAGTCACCAACACCACTTCCAACAAACTACAAACCTTGGCAAACAGATGTCTGCGCCACATAATTAACATCAGATGGTCAGAAACTATAAACAACAAGAATCTGAGGGAAAAACAAATCAAGACTCAATCACTAAACAAATAGACCGTAAAAAGTGGCGGTGGATTAGACATACCCTCCAAAAACTATCAGGAGACATTACACGCCACGCACTCGAGTAAAACCCCCAAGGCAATCGGCGAGTTGGGCGAAAAAAGGAACCATGATGATGGCATTTTCTTCATATCATGATCAGAAATTTGGAGCAGAGGGATATTTCACCCTAATGATCATATATATCTATGTATGACACAATTGATAACACAGGTACATCTTTGATTGATATTCGGGCAAAAGGGGTCATTTGATTATTTTCCTGAAACGACACTTAAAGAGTATCCAGTTAAAATGGTTTAAAGTCATCATTTCGTAAGTTCTATGGTCGATACAATGACTTTGTCAGCAAATAAAATTTTTTATTGAGTCAAATGCTGACTGACGTTTTTCATACCAATTGTTAGTCCATTATTTATACACTGCATTGACGACGGATTTTTCCGTTATTTCCCGATCATGACCATGAGCACGCGGCGGGTGTGACCGGTCAGCAGGGGATGCTCACTCCTCAATGGCAACCAAACCTCTGAGGAGGTCTGTGTTTTTTCTCTGCTCCTATTTTGTATTGTTTTATGGACTTTGATATTGAATACTGTTCGTTATCTCCATATCCTTCTTACAGCATTATGAGCTGCAAGTTTGACATGGAAAAAATTTGTTGTAAATTTGTAATTAACTATTTCAACAATAGAAAAATAGAACATCTATAAACTTCTATTGTTCGTATTTGCGATGGAAGAAATTTTTAAAAGCTTTAATTGAAGCAAAATTACATTACTGTCGTCCTCTACAATGTTGATTTCTTATATAGTGCTATACATTCGTCTGTGGAGTAATATTTCTTCTGAAACAATTTAAAATTTTCTTTTGGTTTTATTGATCACAAGAGTATAAATTACAAGCAAATCAATCATAATAACACATTTTAACAGCAAAATGAATTTCTCAAAAATGCAGCTCATATTGCTTTAAGCAAATGGCAAATGTTCAACATGTTCAATAAACATGGTTTCTGGTGAAACATACGGCCTAGTTCTTTTTCAATTGTTCAGCCTTTTCCACACTGTATGATTTCCTCTTCGCATGACCTTCGTCAAGAAGTCCTCGCACGCCTAACCCGATATTTACATTTGATTGATTGATCGTTTATTGTTTAACGCCCCTCTCGAGAATTTTTTACTCATATGGAGACGCCATCCCTTGCCGATGGAGGACAGCAAATTTTGTACTATACTCGGCACTTGGGTCCATTGAGCAGGGAGAGATTTTTTGGTGCCAGCACCTACTGCGACACGGTACCTCGGTTTATATGGTCTCACCCGAAGGACTGGTCTCAACGTCCCACAGTGAGATTCAAACCCGCGACGTAAGGATCAACTCCTTACTTCGCGACTCAAGAGCAGACCCTCTAAACGTTGCGCCTTAGGACGACTTTTTACATTTGAGCGCGTGTGGAACGTAATATCTCCAGATGGTTTTCTGAGGGTATGCCCAATCCACCGTAACTGTCTTCGGGCTATTCTTTGAGTTATTGAGTCTTGATTTGTTGCTTTCTACTGGTTCTTGTTGTTTATCTTGTTTTTCCACTTGATATTAAGTATGTGCGAAGGTTTGTACATGTAGCTTGTGTTTGAGGTGGTGTTGTTTGTAACTCTTCATGTTTCAGACTTGTAGAGGAGCGAGACTTTAGTAACTGTAATAGATGCGGAGTTTAGTGTGTGTGGACAATCAATGCAGATGGACTCTACACTGACTTGAGAGTGATGAAGGCCTGTCCCGCTTTATCGTAACCCCACTTGAAAAGTTTAAGGGTATACAGTGATCGAGATATCCGTCTCTGGGGAAGCCATCTCTTATCCCTCTGAGTGAAATTTATTCAGGCTTTTCCAGAATCTTAGTTACAAAGTGCCATCATGCACCTTCTATCTCACTTTTGGATTGGACACATATTTCGGGTTTCCAAAAGCAAAACATGGACATGGACATTCATTCAATTCAATTTAAGGGCACCCATCTCTTATCCGCAACTCCTCCTATACCACTAAATAAAATCTAATGATACATTCACGGATTTTGTATTACCAATGTCATCGTGCACCTCCCACTTTACTTTTTGACCTAACACTTATTTTGGGTCTCCAAGAGCATACCATTTGTCATTATAACCATATGAGAGGTGAGGAGGTATCATTTAGTAAGCTCATTGCTCACAGTACCTCTTTAGTTAATTTTTGCTTTTATGTCCTCATCTGTTCCACCATATGCTGCTTAGGTATTGAATGGAATCTTTCATGTTATTTTCCCAAAGCGTGATTAGTGTTTGCTGTTTGTTATGTCAATGTTGACCTGTAGACTTGTCTTTGTTGCTTCCTTGGCAAGTCCCCCGCTTTTTGTCCGTCAGTCTGTCAGTCTGTCCGTCTGTCAGTGTCACAAAAACTTTAACCTTGCCCATAACTTTTGAATGCTCATATGTATATTCCTTGTGACAAGACTTTGGCTCAAATTTGACCTTTTGACCTTGACCTTTGTTTGACCCACTTTTACACAAAAAATCCTAACTTTTACTTTGGTTATCTTTTGAATTAGAAATCCCCCGCTTTGAGCTGCATATGCGTCACAAAAACTTTAACCTTGCCCATAACTTTTGATTTAGCTGAGCTCATATTTCACAAGTATATTCCTTGTGACAAGACCTTTCTTTGGCTACCACCAAATTTGACCTTTTGACCTTGACCTTTGAGTTTGACCCACTTTTACACAAAAAATCCTAACTTTTACTTTGGTCATATCTTTTGAATGGTAGAAACTAGGACTTTCATATTTCACATATATATTCTTTGTGGCAAGACCTTTCATTGGATACCAACAACCTTGACCTTTTGACCTTGACCATGGAGATTTTTGCACTTATAAAAAAACATTAACCTTGACCATAACTTCTGAACGGTAAGGGCTAGGGTTTTCGTACTTCACATATGTAATCCTTGTAAGAAGTCCTTTCATAAGATACCATGAACTTTGACCCTTTGACCTTGACCTTTGAGTAAGTCTTTTTTTCAAGAACATTGACCTTGGTCACAACTTTTGAACTGCCGATGCTAGGGCTTTCATTTTTCACATATGTATTCTTTGTGGCAAGACCTTTTTTGGGTACCACCAATTTTGACATATTGACCTTGACCTTGGAGTTTGACCCAGTTTTACACAAAAATTCCAAACTTTTACTTTGGCCATAACTTTTGAATGGTAGATACTAGGACTTTCATATTTCACATATATATTCTTTGTGATAAGACCTTTCATTGGATACCAATAACCTTGACCTTTTGACCTTGGAAAGTTTTCGTACTTATAAAAAAACTTTAGCCTTGGCCATAACTTTTGAATGGTAAGGGCTACATGCTTTACATATGTAATGCTTGTGAGAAGATCATTGAATACCAAAAAACTTTGACCCTTTGACCTTGACCTTGGAGTTCAGTGATGATTTAATATAATAAATGAAATAAATGACATATGATAGGATGTTCATATTAGCACAATATGTCATAAAAACTGACATCTCACCCACAAAGACACCGAAAGCGGGGGACCAAAAAACATGAGCTGCATATGCTCTGATAATAATACTAATAGGTTATTAACAAATTTAAGGGTTTCCATATTATGGAGTGAGATTCTACTGGACTAGAAAGCCTGAAAGATGCAATAAGAACGCCTTCATCTAGAACAAGAGGCTTTAGAAAAAAACATGTCTTGTACAAACCAGATCGCCACCTTACATTTTATAATCGAACAGCCACGTGAGTGGCAGTCTACATCTGAAATTCATCAACTTTGAAAAAGCCTTTGATGGCATTGACAGAAAAGTCATCCGGAAACTACTAAAGCATTATTTTGTTTAAATGTTGCTTAACCTCTCTCTTGAGAATTGTTTGCTCCTATGCGCACCACTTGCCCGCGGCCATCCCGCATAATCAGTCCAATGCCACAAAGTAAAATCATCGGTGACAGTAGATAACCCTGTATGCACTTCAAAGGCTTCCGTAAGCTCCCCGTTGTGATCTTAAATGGCATGTAGCCTCGACATATAATTCTTTGATGTTGATGGAGGTGGGTTGCGTTCCATAATACTAGAGTTACGTCGTGGGTTCGAATCCACTGAGGGACGTGAAGACCGGTCCTTCGGATGAGACTGTATAAACCAAGGTCCCTTTTCCCAGTAAGTTTTGGCACGAAAAAGATCCCTTATTGCTCAATGGCAAAAGGTGCCGAGTATAAAATATAATAAAATATATAAAATTTGCGGCTCTCCATGGCCACCCGCCAGTAGTGGCGTCTCCATAGGAATGAAAAGTTCTCGAGAGGGACCTTAAACACATATAAACAAAATAATGCCAGAGTAATTTCCAGATGACTTTTCTATCAATGCTATCAAAGGCTTTTCAATTTCAAAGTCGATGAAGTTCAGGTGATGACTGCTACTCTAGTGTATGTTCGATTATTATACGTAGAGTGGCCATCTGTTCTGTAAAGTACTTGTTCTTTCTAAAGCTTGCATGTTCTGGACGGAGGCGTTCCTCTATTGCATCTTTCAATCTTTTTATTATTATTCTTGTCAGAATCTTGCATGGGACAGATAGGAGCATGATGCGACGCCAGTTCTTGCATTGTCCCAGGTCTCCTTTCTTGTGGAGCTTCATTAAATGTCCCTTCTTCACTCAACTGGTTCCTTCCCCTCTAACTAAATCTGCAGTAGAGGTAGTATTATCTGCTGAAGTTTGTATATCTGCCTTTGGAGCTTTTGTGGGGATTCCGTCAGGCCCAACTGTTTTTTCGATTCTTTGTTTTTTTTTTTCGAGCCTTGATGGTCGCAGTCCACGTGGGAATGGCATTGAGCACTAGTACTGTTACTTCAGAGTCTTCTGTTGTTGGACAATTAAGTCCTTTGAAGTGTTTGACCCAGCGCTTTCTCTTATCTTCTTTCTTTGTAATAAGAATTGCCTTACTTGTCTTTTACTGGCTTGCTCTGTTGTGGTCTGCTCCCTTCCAGGGTTTTTGTACTTTGTGAAGAAGTCTCTGTTTTTCTTTTATGTAAGTGTCGACCAGTTTCTATATTTCTACCGAAAGTCATTCATTATGTCGTTATTGTTTTATCCCAATATCTCCTCGCATGCGCTGTTCAGTGATTGATAAACAATGAGAAAACTGAGTGGTTGGTTAACTTAGTAATTGGTCTATATAGTAGCACGACCATATTTATTCTGTTTATGTTAAAGGTCCTTAGAGACACTGACAATGTCTGTTTGATGACAGGGAAACAGAGCAGCTCCCGGCGCTCCTTGGCCTTTACCTAAAACATGGATGAACAGCACCGAAAGATTTATTTTCCATCCGACAAAATTTCAGTTTATTTCTTCCATGAAGTCATGTGACATCTTATCATCGGCCTTTGAGCGATATCAAACCATATTCAATTTGGAGAAAGATTCCAATGCACAAGGGCCAGAAAAGCTTGTGACGTCATTGAATATTGTTGTCAAAGAATCGTCCTGTCCAGGGTACCCCAGTCAAAACATGGACGAATCGTGTGCGTAATCCAAGTTAAAGAATGCTTTGATTCTGATCAATTTTAATCATTTGAAATAAATATTTAATTACAAATGATACCTATTCTTTTTACCTCGACAGATAATTTAACAATTTCTACGAATCCTCAACTCACATCTGAAACAGCATGGGGTGCTCTTAGAGGTAAATCTTGATTATGATAAAACGATGTGTATGTTTTACTTCTGAAATTCAATTTTTCAACGTAAGAAAAAATCATGCAGCTAGAGTTGGAAAATTCTGTTTATACTTAGAAGTATTCAATCAGAAGATGTTTGAATTTCATGTTTAAAAACATTCATTGAAATGGTGTTCAATATGCCTTTTGGTTTGGAACCATTCTTACTGATGATGTCAAAGTTAGTATTACTCTTTGAGGAGACATAGGTTAAAAAATGTCATACAAGTTTTGAATACTAGTACATGTGTATTTCTAAATTTACAGGCTTAGAAACATTCAGTCAGCTAATATACAAGGAGGTGGCAAAAAATACGGTGAGACGTTACATGAGAAAAAATTAATTAATCTTAATTATAGAAATACCATGTCTTAATATGTAACATACTGATAGTATATTAAAGAAAATCATCCGCGATCAAGATTTTTTTCTATCACCAATGCTCTTACCAGTGGACAACATTTTTTAAATGAAATTTTCTCGGTTCTTTTGGTTGTCAATGAGGAATCATGTTGTATTTTAAAGCTCTTCATCAACAAGACGACTATAATGGACGAGCCTCGTTTTAGTTATCGCGGCATCATGCTGGACACCGCCAGACATTACATTCCTATTCCTATTCTGCTAAAACATCTTGTGAGTCTTTATATCCGACTTTTTTTCAACTTTTGTCGATTAAATAACAATGGCAAACATGTTATGTTAAATGTTTCTAATATATATTTATTTCATATTTACATGTCTCATACATTTTTTTTTTGTTTTTGATTTCAGGACGCCATGGCTTACAACAAGTTCAATGTGTTTCACTGGCACATTGTGGATGACCAGTCATTTCCATATGAAAGTATTTCATTTCCAAGCTTATCAGAAAAGGTACAAAAACACCAACAACAAAAAGATCATGAATTAAAAATATTCTTTTCTTTTAACTAAAAAGTTTACATATTTCTTGGATTATCTTTTATTGAGCAGAAAGTTCTAGTATATATTTAAACTTTTAATATTGCTGATTACATACTTAGAAAAATCAAATATTTGTCTTTTTTTTTCTTGTATATTTTAACGCCAAAACTGAAACAACTATCTGAATTATCGTTCTTTTTCGTGTTGAAAATTTTGCAGGGTGCGTGCGACTTAAAGCTCATCTATACACAGGAAGACATAAGACACGTGATTGAGTATGCGCGACTACGGGGAATTAGAGTCATTCCGGAGTTTGACACACCTGGACATACACAGTCATGGGGAAAAGCATTCAGATGTAGGATATTTTTTTTCAAATTTGCTTAATTTTTAGAATATATAATTAATAAACTAAAGTGATTTTTGAATTAATTTCAGATCTCTTGACGCCATGTTGGGTTGATGGAAAAGAAGGTGTTGCTAAACCAAACTTCCACGGGGCATACGAAATGTTTGATCCATCCAGAGACTCCACATTTGACTTCCTGGAGAAGTTTATCAGTGAAATTGTCCGAGTTTTTCCTGACCAGTACTTACATCTCGGAATGGACGAGTCTTACCCTGCTTGTTGGTGAGGGATTCAATTTCATTGCGAAGGAATTCACTTCATTTATTGAAATAATTTTACTTCAGTTCAACAACTGTGCTGGTATAGTTATTTATTTTTCCGTTATTTCCCGATCATTACAAGGAGCACAACCGGGTGTGATCGATCGGCAGGGGATGCTTACTCATTCGTGGCCTCCTGATTCGACTCTCTGGTGTTCTAAAGCTCCGTGTTTGCTCTCCTTTTCCTTTTGTTTGAATGGACTAAACGTATTGAGATTGAATACTCTTCTTTATCTCCATATATTTCATGTATAACTGTATTTGAGTTTTGGAGATGCTAAAAGGTTGTTTCACCTGAGTTTTACCGCACTGCCCACTTATTTTACAGGAAGTCGAGCCCAAACATCACCGCCTTCATGAAGGAGAATAATATTACGTCATATGTCCAGCTGATGCAGTATTATGTGACAAAAGTCCTGGATATTGTAGAAAATACCAACAAAAGCTACGTCATCTGGCAGGACCCAATAGAAGAGGGAGCCCGGGTATGTCTCGATCCAAAAACGGATTCTAGCCAGGTCTATCTAGAGAATAAAGCCTCTTTATAGGGTCCAAAAAGCTCATGTGAAACGAAAAGTTGTATGTTAACTTTTCCTAAAAAATGGTATGATTCTTCTTGGAATTTGGCAAAGTGATTTAAACAAATAAGTAAAATGGCAAATGGTCACAAAGCATAGCTGGCTGTAAAAAAATATATTTAAGTTGAACTGGCTTCCTATTATTCTAAGTACAATGTGTCTTTTTACTGTACATTTCATTTTTAGATTTGTTTCTCAGAAAGAAAAGAAAATGTCTTGGCAATTTCCTTAATTTTGTTTAATAAAATGTTCTGCATGAACAAAAGAAACTCAGTACATTTTCTACCCAGGCTAAAGAAGACACAATAGTGGAGGTATGGAGAGGGAATACAACTGTTCCCTGGCAGAGTTATATGAGTATGGTAGCCAGTAAGGGTTATAAAACCATCCTTTCCTCCTGCTGGTATCTTAACTACATCAGCTACGGCCAGGACTGGAAAAAGTACTACGAGTGTGAACCGTACAACTTCACGGGTAAGTCATCAGTGTACAGCAGATGTTCTACCCAGAAGAAAATGAGCTGTAGGGCGGCCTACAACAGGTAGTTTAATGAAAATTGGACTCTCAACAACTTGAAAGACAACTAATTCACAAGAAATGAATGGTACTATTTTACCGGTAAGGTAAAGGGATATAATCGGCAACCAGAGAGTTATTTAAAAGTTTCTAATTTTGCAATTTGAAGGTACGGCGGACCAATACAGGAAGGTGATTGGAGGAGAAGCTTGTTTGTGGGCGGAGTATGTTGATGGCACCAATCTCCTCTCAAGAGTCTGGTATGTTTAATTAAGTCATTCCATGTTAAATGATGTACAGAATCATAACAGATCGAAGAAGCATTGATTGACTTTGTCCACAGGCCAAGAGCGTCCGCTGTAGCCGAGCGACTTTGGAGCCCACGTTACGTCACCGATGTAGAGAGTGCAAAGTTCAGACTGGACCAACAACGATGTAGGATGTTGAGGTATATTTGATACTTACAATGACTCGTGCAGATTTTGATTAATATACTTAATTAAAACGACACAGGTTCTTTTGTCGATTAAAAGCTCTTTAGAGCTCAACTTTATTTTTTTTTTTTACAAACTGGACTCTACGTACGATTTTGTGATTTTGACAGGCGAGGTATTCCGGCCCAGCCGATACTGGACGGTTACTGTGGAGATTATGAGTTTGGTTTTCCGGGCAGTAACGGAATATATGAGCCGTCAGAGACGGAACAAAGAATACCGACGTCATCACATTCAGCCGCGACGGCTCTCTCCTCATTATTATTTATCACTTATTTATGTACATTGACAGTGCTTACACTATGAAAGAGTTACAGTACAGTACATTACAGTACAGAATTAACAACCTCTAACTATTTATACACCCACACCCTCATCTCGGTCAATTCAATAAACGTATACTCAGTATCCACCATACACAGCATTTTCAGCTGGTATTCTAAGAAGTATTGAATTCATCAGTTGGTTATGCGAACAAAATACATATGTAGTCTTCCAGTCTCTTTTCTAGCCTGATTTTCCGATTTTTAAATTGACTTCTAAAGAAATATGTGATATCCTTAGTCTTATATTTACATCTAAAAATCACATGTGTATATCAGATATATGACTTCGATCATTCAAACATAGAATGATAGATTTCAATATATTCATAGCATGTTCTTTATCATTTTTCGAATTTTTCGCTTATTTAAAGTCTGTATATTTATGTCCGAACTGTAAGTTATAAAGTGATATGCTTTTCTTATATTCAATTTGCATAAATTAAAGATTTTCGACACCACCACTTTATTTGAAGTATATAATTATATATAATGATGCCTCTGTTTTGTGTAAAATTTGCAAATGAACTCAAGAAATACAGCATGCACCATTTTAAAAATTCTTGTACGTGTAGTTAACAGGGTTTAAATACGAGAGATTGCATTGAATTGTCATTATCATATGAACAAAACCAGAAAATGCATGAACGTGCAGAGAACTTACCAAGTATTTTTTATTGATTAATTATGATGAATCTATGTCCGATATCATTAATAGCTGTTACAATTCATCATTTGTCGGCTACAAGGAATACTGTTTTGTTATGGTATTTTTTGGATTATGTTTCGGGACTTAAATTACACCTGTACGTGTCTTAAAATCCATGACAGGTGAATGGCAGAGAAAATGAAACAAAGACCATCAAAATGGCACGTACTGAAACATTTCACAACATATTCACTGTACAATTCCATTACTGTTGTCATTAGTAGATTTCGGCGCTTTTTGTCCCAAATCTCATATATGCTACTTAATTTGTATATTCATTGTAAATATGTTACTTATGCTGAAAACGCAATTCATACTAGATTTAAACGTTGCTCTAATTTAAAATAAAGAATACGTGTGAAATAAAAGGAATTCTGTTAGCATTTTCTGCATTGCGATATGCTTGTCGTAATCGTTAAATAATGTTCTAATTGAAAATTGAATGATCATCCGACATTGATGGCTGAGTTATGGACATTTTACGATAACGTATTACAGCCTAGAAGTTAACGTTCACACGGTAATACAATAAGACTACACGGCCCTACAATAACACCACACGGGCTGGACACACCTGACCACCGGAATGGGACGCGGTCCTTTATATCCCCGGAATTATGGCGGTTTTATTCCAAAACTAGACCTATATTTAACATCAGAAATTAACAAATCATTAATCCATTATATTGGTCTACCAGAAAAAATGATAATATAATGAATAGGAAACAATTAAATATATTAACATTCAACCTGATGTTTTACATACAGGCAACAAGGTAGAGCATATATTACCACGTATAGATATATACATATAAAGTTTTTCATGTAACGGATTTGTTTAATTTAAAATAATTGTTATGTATATATAATGACATATACACACACAACAACGAAATATATATAAACAGATATGTGTTTCAGATATTTGTCACATACAAATGATATATCATTTCATTCATTCTAGCGCTAACGTAGAATCTATAAATTGCAGTAAACAGTCGTACATTTAAAATATATCTTGGTGAACTTAAATACTTATCAAATACAACAGAAAAGTTAATTCAAATTCCAGGCCTTCGAGTTTTATTTCATAAATTGGGGCCCGGGCGAATTAATATGGGCCTAGTTCTTACATTAGCTCTTCTGATGCTATCAATCGGCTGATTCTCCATTAACACGGTAGCACCAGATTGATCCGGGAAAAGATTTGTTCCTATGTCCCGTCTCCGGTTCCGGAGAATAGAGAGTCCTGAATTAGGGCGACGGAATGGCACAACCTGTCTGTTTGTTTGAGTGGCCGGTATCAATCCGTTGTTGGCCTGAACAGTGGTGAATTCGTTTGGAATTCTTGTTTCTATTGAGTTCAAAACATTTGTTCCTGGTAGATCAGAAAACACGGAAAATCCAGAGTCCATATCCTGTTGTGTCTCACGGAATGCTGATATCAGCCGATTGTTTGGTGACTGGTTCCCCAAGAAGTTGTTGTCTTGTCCCCTGCCCCCAGCAGAGAGGATCCTCTCGTTCGATAACTGGGGGTCTCTAAATATAAACACAGTATTATCATTGCCGTTATTTTCTACCCGCCGTTCTTGGAAAACAGGCAGGTTACCAATGAAGCGTGGTTCTGGCGGGAAAAAATCGCCGCCATCGTCACGTGGGGTTTCCACAAATGTGCCATTCTCTGCTATTCTCTGTACACTCCTGTTTGTAAATCGAGGGATTAAAGAGCGGACCGTTTGTCGAGTCCTTGGAAACCAGCAGTAACTTCCAGTGAAACTGTGACAACAGATCTGTGGTGCGTCACATCCGGCATCGTCAAAACAGTCCACTGAAAACTGCTGAATCATGTTCAGACGAGGATCTGGGCATGTTCCCTCTCGAGGCAGGTCAAAGACTGAGAATGAAATATAGTAAATGTATAACCTTAATCCAGGGTTATTTTTCACCAAACAACCTTTGGTATGCTTTAATACTTTAGTATGTCAATGAACGTTACTTATATGACCCTCATTTAAACACTTAGATGCCTAAAATAGATACGTGTCATTCGTTTTGCAATAGAAACAACGTTAATTCCAATAGTTAGTTACAAAGAAAGGCAATTGAGTTTATATTCATGTTTGTATGAAAATGATAAAAAGAAGAATTGAGTATGCTTATATTCTAATTAGTAATATGGTCATGCATTTTTCCTTGATTAAATAGTTACCGCTCAAGAAATCTATACAGATGGCTTGTTTGGCGATGTTAAAGTACAACTAATATATAAATAGCTGGGAACTGAAAGTAAAGAAACCTTACCACGAACATAAGAGGAAGTGAAAGTAAAAAAAAACCCTTACGACCATCACAGGATAAAGTGAAAGGAAAGAAGCCTTACCACAAGCACAGGAAACAATCTTACGACGTACATGTATGTTAAGGAAAGCTTACCGTCAACACGGGATAAAGTGAAAGTAAAGAACCTTACCACCAAAACAGGAGTAAATAAAAGTATAGAACCTTACAGGAGTGAATGAAAGTAAAGAACCTTACAGGAGTGAATGAAAGTAAAGAACCTTACCACCAACACAGGATAAAGTGAAAGTAAAGAACCTTACCACCAAAACAGGAGGAAATGAAAGTAAAGAACCTTACCACCAACACAGGATAAAGTGAAAGTAAAGAAAACTTACCACCAACACAGGAGGGTTCCTTTAAAAAGCACGGCCCCGACTCACGACAGTTCTGATAGGAAAGGTCGCAGGTCTCTCCAAAATTACATTCCACAATCTAAATACAAAATACCAACAGGATATATTTCAGTCAGACAACTTAAAGTATATGTTCCATACGATCAGACTTTTTAAAGAAAAATAAACTAGTGATTAAATGTATTTCTGATTAATACCTTCTTTCCTTTAATTTACATCATTGATATCATAACAAGGTAATCAAAAAAGAGAGAAAAATATTTTGCTTTATTTGAAGAAATAATGGTTATACAGTAACAAAAAATGGAAATATTGATATCATTTTTGATGTTTGAATTTACTTTATTATTCTTTTCCCTTTTATTTTTTTACTTCTTAACATTTAAAAATCAGGTTGCATAAACAACCATCTGTTAATCAAGTACTTTTTTTAATTTTGGATAAAAATCATAAACTAATAAAATATGGAACAGTTCTATTCAAAGTATAAAATGAATGATGGAACTCGATGTTGAGAATGAAATAAAAGTGATTAAGTAAATTAAATACATTAATTTAATTTACTCACTGAACAGGAGTGCCGGCGGACCACGTTAATCCATGGGTTCCGAAATCTGGTCTGTGCATCTCCAAACTGTATTAATCCAAAGACCTGTACATGTAGTTAGAAGAAAAATGAAAATCTTAAAGAAAGATTTTTTAAAATTAAATACGTTATCTTTTTAAATTTAAAAAAACTTACCCACAGAAAGCAGTGGAAAATAGAAAACCTCATTTTAATCCAGACTGGCTTTTCCTATGAACATTGTTGACCGTCGGTCGGGCAGAGTGAACATCGAACCCGACGAGGTCAATAAATGTTTGTGATTACGGTATGGCAGTAAAGAGGCCTAATACACAGAGAAGTAGTAATTCAGGGAAGGTAAGGGGGTCAGTCGGTTTGTCTGGGGCGCCCAATCGCTTCCTGATTCCTGATCACAAGCTAAACTTCGATTAACCCGTGTTTCTCAAATGTTACACGTTTTTTTCATGTCCATATTGAAGTCTTTATTCGAAATGATTACAAAATTTATAGTTTTTCAAAATGTGAACATATTTTGATTATGCAATTTCTTGTTATGCTCCTACATTGCATTTGCGATTACATTCAAAATTACTCATGAAGATGTTAATTTTTTGGTACTAAATTACAGGCAGTTTGGGAATAATAAAAAAAATATTGCACTCTTCCGGAAATTTCAAAAGCTCTCACAATGTCTCGTTTGATTAAAAAAAAAATTAGACGACAGGAATTTTAAATTTTCCAATCTCCACATCAAAATTGTTGAACAAACTATCCTTAATAATAAACTATCAAAATCTATTGGTGCTCTTTAAATGATTTAAAAATATTATAATTTCTTCATAGATTTTGATGCTTTAATTTATACACACCCTATGTAAATATTTTTAAAAAATTAACTGTAAATGCCAATTAATATATTTACTTAAACTAAGGCGTTTCATATAATAAATCAGTTTCAAAAATTATAACAAATTAATGTTCACAAAATGTTTGTTTTATTTGTTTGTTTATGTTTTCCCCTTTTTTCTTCATGTGTATTTACTCAATTCATAACTATTAGGACGTCAGTAATTTGTGTAAGTAAAAAATCATTCTGACGTCAGTGGTGAATCTTGCCAAGATAAAAATGAAAGATCCGTACAGAAACATGTATTTCAACATTAGATGACCATCATTAAAAATCTAGATTGAGAGAAATTTATGCAGCCAGTAAATACCTAAAAGCGGGCCAGTATGATCAGGACACAAGTATACGTATATCTTAATTGAATAAAAACATTAACAAGTGCTGATTACTGCATATAGAACACCGATTATTAATTATAATTTTTATGACAGGCTATTACGATGTAATTAAATAATTACCCGCGGGCAGGAAGCAACAGGTATGAGACAATTACAGGTGATAACATTACGGTAGATAACAAAACTGCACAGTTGTATCAGTACATGTAGTTGTACCCAACCACGTTTTTAAAAAAAATATATTTCTTGTCGCTCAAAGAAGAAAATATTATAAAACGGAGCTGTATTGTTACTTCTGTGTAATCTTTATATATACAGAAATGTCTCCTACCTTTTCAAACTTGTGCGATATTAATCTATAATATCCTCGCCCCCCAAAATAAGTGTTAGTTATGTCCTCTTCTGAGATTTTATGGTTTTCTCTTTAAAATAGTCATACATAAGTTATACAGCTCTTAATTAAAAAGACATTGTGTTTCCATTTAAATGTTTTAAAAATAAATTCATCTATACTTATTAAATAAAACAGGGTCTGGTAATTTAAGCAGTAAAAGTACTTAAAAAAGAAATAAAATAACACGTAAATTCTCTGCTTAAGCTGAAACAAATTATTAAAATGGAAAATGTTTATTTGACTCAGCTATTGACGTAGACCTGTTGTTACTCTATATTTTTGTTAATATAAGAGAGGTAATCTAATATAAATAACTTTATTCTGTTTAATAAAGTTGTCCCGCTTTAACATTTCTGTGATCCATAGCTTAAATTTCTTTTGCTATTAACAATTCACCTCATTTGTTCATCTAAAACGCAATTGGCTAGGAAAAATTACAGTCTCTGATCAGTTATGAAGTAGGAAAACATCATAAAGTACACAAAACGTAGATAAATTATTGAAAATAATGGATGGGGGATGATTTACTGCTATATTTGATTTATGACTGTCTCTCTATTCTCCCTTTCCCCGTCCTTGCGTTTCTGTCAAGCTGAATGCAGGTCATGGATATGAGAGCAACTAAATAATTTAAAGTCCGTCGTTTCTAATCAATAACTTATTTTTAACATTCTATATTCTTTAGAGAAATCACTTTAGAATATTGAATAAAATATTTAATGGTTTCTGTAGCAGCCCTTTCTTTTTCTTCTAGATTGGAATTGCAACATCTGTGTTCACTCTCAGTTGCTCCTTTTACTGTATTAGATCACAAGAAAATGTTAGCAGAATATGATAAAGCATATGATCAAAGGCAATCATTAACATTAATGAAGTTTTTCACACTTAAGTTCCCATTTAACATGTTTAGATATTTGTAAAAAATTCTGAGCCAGGTAAATAGTAGTTCCACACCAGTCTGTCGTTTACTGGACATGCAGACCTGGCATGATCCTGTCCATAAAAACAATACGATTCAGGAACAGAGCGAATAATATCAGCATACACGTAAATGTTATCAGCCAAAATCTGTCCACTCTGTGAAAAAGACAGAATTGCTGGAGTGATGTTAGACCTGATGATAGTTTCCTCAGAGAATGGACAGCCTGATACCTGTAACTTACCTGAAACTTATACTCCGTCCATTCCTTGTCAAGTTAAAGATGTGAAAAATTTTCTATCATCAAAAGAAGATAGGTATTTAGACGATTAAGAAGCCGTTCATGGATGAAAACAGAACAAAAATCTGAATGAGCAAGGAGGAAGCAAAACTAGTATCCAATTTTAATGCTTTCGCGCAAGAACTTCTTGTTGATCAATGAATGAAATATATAGAGATGACAATAGTATTCAAGCTCAAAGTCCATAAAAACAAATCAATTTAGGAGCAGAGCGAATACGGACCTTTAAAACATCAATGGTTGGATATGGTACCATAGAGAAAGGAGCACCCCCTGCCGACCAGTCACAACCATTGTGTGCTTGTCATGATTGGGAAATAACAGAAAATCTGTCGACAATTCAGAATGTGAATATTGAAGAAACAATCTGTGTGAAAAATATCAGTCAGCATTTGACTTTATGGTAGATTATATTTCCTGACAAGGTCATTGTATGGACAGTAGAACTTAAGAAATGATTACTTTAATGATTGATTGATTGAGTATAGGTTGTTTAACGTTACTTTCGAGAATTTTTCGGAAAGCTGCAAATTGTGTCCTTTACTCAGCACTCAGGGCCATTAAGCACGGAAGGATGAGGATGATGGTGACTTGATATTTTTCTTTCATCGATTTATCTATCACTAACTTACCTCTTTTTAGAAATTGATCTAACGGAAAGCAAGCTCCTGCATATCGAATTAATTGAGAGATAAAAACCTCATATGCAGATGATAGGGGTATATTATATTGCTGCATTAGTAAGGGAAGTTGACGATTGAAAAGTTCATCACGTTCATCATAAAACTGTGTTGTTCTGATTACCATTAAACATATAGTAATAAAGGTATTTAAGATCAAAAGTACAATAAACAATACAAAATGGAAGCAGAGCAAACACGGACCTCCGAAACATCAGAGGTGGGATCAGGTGCCATGGAGGACTGATCATCCCCTGACGACCGGTCACACCCGCCGTGTACTCCTTGTCATGATCAGGAAATAACGGAAAAAATCCGTCATCAATTCAGTGTATATATAATGGACTACCAATAAGTATGAAAAACGTTAGTCAGCATTTGACTCAATGATAAATTGTATTTGCTGACAAGGTCATTGTACCAACCATAGAACTTAAGAAATGACTACTTTTATCGAGACTGCTGAAATTCATATTTCATCAACTTGTATGTCAATAATTTACCTCGCTTTAGAAATTGTTCATACGTAGAGCATGCTCTTGCATATCAAATCAACTGAGATATGTCAACTACGTGTACAGGTGATGAAGGTATATTGCTGTATAAGTAAGGGAAGTTGACGATAGAAAAGTTAAAGTCATCACGTTTATTATATAGCTTGGTTCATACCATTAACGTCTTTTTCAAGTAAAATATTCAAATATGATACAGATGTGTCAGACTCTGTGGTATCTTTTATTTCAATCTCACCTTGATATATCGTATTTATCAGAGGCAGGATAAAATGTCTTTTACTAGTAAACTATCCAAATATGGAACATATGTGTCAGACTCAGTGGTATCTTTTGTAACAAACTCATTAGGTTATATAGTGGCGGTACATGATGAATAGAAATAACTATTATTTAATAGGTAATACATCGGTTATATATATCTTTATTTTCGTACTGAAAGCCACAGCAAGTTTCTTCTTCCCATGTATAAAATTTTGAATAAATCTTACTTCGTATGGATACAAAATACTAGTAAGTCTGCTAATTTAGGCACGGTTGGTACCATAGAAATTCCAACAGATTGTTTGACTTTTGTCTAAAAAAAACACAGATAAACTGTCATTCAGAAATTTAATAATCTTTTTAATATCAACTTTAGAGTTCTTGTGTGTGTGAAATCGGAATGTTACTAACAAAAAAAAATTTGCGAAGATTAATGACAAATTGAGTAAATTTACGAGTTCCATTTTACTGACAAAGCAGCTGCCAATGATGTCAAAAAGGTACAAAAGTTGTCATAACAATGAATTTTTAATAAGTCTAATGGAGGTATTACATAAATAAGAGGTCCATTGAATTATTTATTATCTGTTTTAGAATTTGCAGTTTATTGTCATAGAAGAGTAATTTTATCACGCTTTTTGAAACAGGGTTTAAAAATCGTGTACATGAGTCGGAGATTCGTGCTTTACAAACAATAGGGCTGCTCGGTCAATATTCAGCGTGGTTAGACCCTATTGATCAACAAAAAAATTAATTGCTTCTGCTGAGGCTTTTAAAAAAAAATTTGTTAAAACATTTTCTAACTATACATTTTTATAAATCTTGAAATTTACACGCTCTAGTAAAATGCCCTCAGGGCGTTTAGTAAGGTTGGTTTCGGATTTTCAAGAACAAAACACCAATAATTTTTTTTCTAGATGGAAATCCAATTTTATTGTTTGATTTGACAGAGTCGGTCCCTCTTTTATTGTGTGTATTATAAGAGAAGATCAAATTACAGATATCACATGCATATCCAATATGCGCCAAATATATCGCTAAATCAGCTAAATCTCTAAATCAGCATTTTTATACAAATCAGACGGTTTTAAAATATAAAATGCATTTGGAAAATTAATAATTTAAGAATTCATATATTGGAAATTTTTTTGGAATGCAAAACGTGATAAAATTGTGAGAGATTGATTTCACGT